ATATTTATTTATTTATTTATGGGTAAATCTACATACAAGGCGTAGCAACTAAGTAGTAGTTGAATGTCCAACAACAAATTGTGTATACAATTAATTAATTAATTRATTGTCAAGATAAATCAATTACAATTGAGTGTACATAGAGTAAACACATATATATATTTAAGAGCACACACAAACATATTTTCAAATGATGCCAAAGCTCGCTTGAGCTCAACTATGAACCGAACAAATTCTCGTATACTTAAACACCAAACGAATTAGATATATTATTGCCAGCTTTGTGAATAAGTAAATTTACGAATAAGTGGAAAATTGATATGAAAGCTAAAATCAGTATTTGAGCTAAACTCAATCAAATAAACATTTTTAAAAATCAAATGAAAGTAAACAAAAATTCCTTAGCAAATTTCCAGCCCGAAAGCGTGCGAAAAAGTGTCTTATTTTGTTTACGTATTTTTTCCACAATTCTTTTGTGAGGGCGTGTGAAACATTTGTTGTTTGTTTATGTATATATTTTTTTGTTGCTTTTAATGCCCAGGGTATGCCAAAAAAACATATGCTTTTTGCCTTCATACATCGCTGTACATTAACTCGCGTATACTATATCTAAATTTAGTTTTCTTCGTTTAGAGAGCGATCGCTTATTGTTCGATGGGCTAAATATAAATAGAGCCCTGCTTTCTTTATAAAACCAACAAATTTGAGCAAACTGTTTGCAAAAGATCTTGAGATATAGGTCAGAAAAACTTTCAAAAATAGTGAAAGAGATTCATTGACAGTTTAACTGGATAAGTAAACTCTTTTAAATTTGTTGTCATTATTTGAGTACAATGCATTCAGTATTTAAGGTATTGCAAAAAATTAATGAAATATTTATATGGAAATAAATTGAAAGATTATATATATTTTGTTCAACTTCTGGAGTACTACTATATAACTGTACACTGTATATTACTGATACTACAATATTAATAAAAATTTTAGGATTTTGTTTGCCTTTTATTTTTTTTGCACATACACTCGCACACACATATGGATGCATATACATATATATAATTTGTGGCTGGCTATTTTTGGCTATTTGCGTTGAGGCACAATGTGTTTAATATGCTTATAATTGAAAATGATTTATGTACACAAGCTACTGCTACTGCTGTGGCGTGAAGGGCCCACACATAGGCCTTAGGGGTTTCATGCAGACCTTAGACCTTTCGCTGCGGTCGGTCGGACGCCAAAGTACTCAATTCAAAAGATGAATAATTTCTGTTATGTTTTCATTTATTTCGTATTTCGTCTGTGTGGGGGAGTATGCGTGTGCGTGTGTGTGTGTGTGTGTGTGTATGACGTGTATGTGCGATTCCCATTCAAAATAAATAAACCAAAAAGCTTCTTGAGGCTAACAAAGTTTTTGTCCATCTGTATTATACAAATATATATAGATATATATATGTATGTACATTATACGACAAGTTGTGTACAACTTAATAAACGTCTTGTTAGTGCCAATAATTTATTATTTCTGAAAGGTTTAATCGGTCATTCAGCTCGCTAAAGTCTCAATATAAAATTTATTCATTTGCCTATCAAATTTTTTTTACATGCTTTTAATTTTTATAATTGTTCATAATTGTTTTAATACGTTTTTAACACAATAATGAGATAATCGTTTAGTAATTATACATTTAATACCATTTTTCTGTACATTTAACCAACAGTAATCGATAAGAATCTGTTGACCATGCTGGAGATATATTAAAATGCAAATTTACTGATTTTGCTTTAGAGTTATCATTTAAAGTTTAAACTAAATATTTAAAAAATCTTTAATATCTAATTTATTTACGCTAAGATGATGTGCAAAACCCTTGAGATATAATTAATAAAAATAATTAAATCACAGAATTTAACTGTATATCATTTAATCCTATGCAACCTACAGACTTTAAGTAGAGCTTGCAATAATTCCCTCTTCTCTTATAAACTAAGTCTTATTGAGAATGCTACACACATAATCTAGATAGTAAACAGTTATCAAATTACCTGGAAATCTTTCACTTCGAATTATAAAATAAAAAACTATTTATATATATATACTCAAACCGAATAAATTTTCTGTAGCAAAAACTTGTTATTGACGTCAAGCAAAATGCCCAACATAAAGCAGATGCAAACAGATTGAAAATAAAAACAAACAATTATATTCCAAAAAGTGAGAAAATTCCAAAACTAAATGGAGAGCAAAAACGAATTAATAAAGGAAGACAAATCCAAAATGTTGCCAAGACTAAAAAGTTAAACAAATCAGGCACTGAAAATAAGCTTTAAATAATCCATTAACAAAGTTTAACGGCCTTGGCAACAGAACAAAAAAGAATGCAAAATGAGAACAAAAAAATTTTAAATTATACAAAATGTGGAATAAACAATAAAGCAACAGAAAGACAGAAAATCAAATTGAACTTTTAATAGGCGCTCACAACAGGCAACGCAAGCCACAGAGAGACAGAAAATCAGAAATCAGATTAATAATTGCTGAGAGCAAATAAAACATAATTAAGACAAAGCAAACGGGAAAGAAATAACAACAACAACATTGTACACGCACAGAAGCGTAGAAAAGAAATCTAAAAGTAAACTATGAGCACCAACTACCTGTGCAGCAACAAAAACAACAACAACCACATAAAGAGTAGAAGAGCGCGTTGTGAGAGCAGCAGGAAGACAAAATGTAGCGTAGCTGTAGGAGAGTGAAAGAGCAAAACCGGTATCACAAACAAACAAACAAAGCGAACGAAGACAACACCAAATAACACGGGCATGCTTGCATGCCTACATTGTCGTTGTGTGTGTGCATATAAGAAATGTAGCTTCGCATAAAAAAATCAAAAACACACACATACACTCACACACACACAACCACACACACAGAGAGAAAATAAGCAACGGCAAAAATGCAACAATGAGAAGAGAGACAAACGCAACGGCTACAGAAAATGTGCATGCTGACAGGTTCAAAAGCAAAACAGGAGACGAAAATGAAATGAAACGAAAAACGGGAGCTGAATTGTCGCCGCCGTCGGCGCACGTTGCATGCAACAAGCTGCAGCAGCGTATTTTTACACATTAGCGCAAATATTTGAATCATTTTTAGCCTCGTCGACGGCGACCGCATTTTGTGTTATTTGGCAAAAGTAAAAGCAAAAGCAAAACAAAAACAAAAATGCGCGCGCGCTCTGTTACACCCACACAGACACACACACACACACGTGAGGACAGCACGCACAAAACGGTACTTTCATCATTTGTGATTTCCACAACATATTATTATATACATATCTAATTTTTGTATTACTAACCTTTAAACTGTAAATGGTTGCTTAATAGTTGTTTGCACCTTGCAACAAAATTATTTGTGTTTATGCTGAAATATTTATTTATACATATACATGTATAAATATATATTTGAATATTTTACTAGATTGCGGAATGGGCTAAGTAACAACAACATTTAACATCACAAACACATGCTCGGTCACACACACTCGCACACATACGCCAATGCACACGCACGCCTACACCAATGGTAATAACAGCACTTGTGTGCACTTTGTGCTTCTTTTTTCATGGACTTTCGGAATGGCGCTTAGATTTTGGATTTCTGTGTATGCGGGCACTGTTCTTGTTGTTGTGGTTGTTAAACAATAGCAAATTGTTGTTGTTAGCAGCGCGGCATTCGTTATAAAAATGCTTTATATTTTTGCAAATACGTATGAAATTTCATAATTTAATAGCTAATCATCATCAATGATTTTCGGCTGATTATTTAAAAAATTATTTGACACTTAATCATTATTTACGAACACATAAACAACGTAGCGAAAATACCAGCGGCGAACGAAGCGACGCAGTGACGCGACGATACGCACGGACAAGAGAAGTATTACTGGCGGAAAACACTGTTAACTTTTCTTATAAGAGCGCGCCAATAACAGCGTAGAGATGAACGCGTGTGCCAACATGGCACGATGTCGCTCAATTCAACATAATTATTTTAAAATCAACTTTATTATTTTAAGTCTTCATCATTTCAAATGCTATGCCAATGCATATATACCTTAACACTAATTCAATATAATTTCAAGACTCAAGTAAAAAATGTGACCATTATATATGTGCGTCTAGTTGTTCTGTCGTGAGTTTAAATCGATCACGAGAGCATCACACTACTACCAACTGTTAAATCAAGTTCGGTTATTTAACAGACCGATTCCAGCAAGAGATGCGCAACTAGCGTAAAAAGCTTTTTAGCTTTATATTTCAGATTTGTTAAAAATCCAGAGATATGTAATTTCTTGATCTGAAATTAACAATATTCTTTCAACCAACTGAAAAATATTTGCATCTAGTGCTATAATATATTCAGCTGCATTCATTGATAATGTATTAAATCAACTTTGTTATTCAAGCACCGCAACGTTGCAGTGCCATGAAGCTGTTATGTTAACATATATCTAACAGAGTTGAATAATTTCTCACAGAGAGCAACAGTTGCGCTCGCAGTCTGTTAGCTAAACAGAGAGAGTGAAAAGCAGTTTGGCGCTTAGCCGATTTCAGCTAGTGGAAAAATTATAGAATTTGGCAATTTCAATAGAAATCTTAAGGGCACATTTTATTTATTCTGAAGCCTTGTATATTTATAAATCTGCATTTTCAGCATTAGTTTCTCTTCTCTAGTGGCAAACGCATGCTCCACCGCCTCCATTGTCAGCGCGATGCATTGACTCTTGGTCAAACCGAAAGATTCTGTTGCCAGGAAGAATTCGTCCGATAATGTCGTATCGAATACGCCACTGTCATCAGTACAAAGAACTTTTGGTGCACATGTTGCCATCAGCTGCTTGAGATGATGAACCCCAATGTTGGCCACAGTTCCGGACTTGACGTTGCTCGTCAAACAGCACTCAATGGGTATATTTTCCTCCTTCATATGCTCGAAACCAGAGTCAGATAAATATGTGCCATGGCCGCAGCGCGACATGCCAAAGCGAATCATCTCTCTAATCTCTACTGGATTATCCACTTCGGCACAATGCATGGCCAGCTTTAGACCATGGTTTCGTGCCTTGCTTAATACTGGTATGAAGTCCTTAAAATTGCCCTGATTCGGATTTCCGCTAAAATCAATCCCAACTATAATTTCTGGCTCGACTGTGGCTAGTTCCACCGCTAAGGCGACAGTTTCCTCAGCCACGGCCACTGGCTCGGCACGGTTTATGGACGGCAGTAATTTTACCTTGATCTTATACAGATCGGACTTCTTTTTTATGACACCCAGAACGGTGTCCAGATACGAACGACGGGACATATTTCCGTTCGCCTTGGGCGTGGTGCGCAGCTCCACATATATGACATTATCCTTGGCGAAGTCCCGTATAACCAATTCGGTGGCGTACTCCAGACCCTCTTTGGTGGAAGTCAGCTCATGCACGAAGCCAAACTTTTCGAAGCAGTCGTCCAACTTCGCGCCCTTCTCGAATTTAATGAAACGCTCGCATAATGTAGAAAATTCTTTTGTCTGAACGCCATAAACTTTCGCCGCCAATTCGCGGATGCTGTCAATGTTCAAACTGCCATTTAGATGAGCGTGCAGCTCGATTTTCGGCAGATTGCGCAGGAATTGTAGCATTTTGTGTAATTAAATTTATTTGGGAGTTTGTATTTATTGTCAGCTGTGTTTTGGCTTTTTGTTTATATTTGGGAGTACTTAGTAGCCCTGGCACTATCAGCTGTTATTTAACAGCAGTCACAACATACGCCTGCTATTATCGAATATTATTCTCAATAATTAAAATGAAAGGAAAATGCAAACCAACTAAATAAATATAATACTAATTTTGTTTGCCAATGTGTAGTTTGTGTTTTTATTTATTTATGTTAATTTTCTAGTTCTTGAGCTTTGATCAAATGAACGTTCCGCCTCCGTCATCAGCTGATATAATTCCGATAGCTTAATAATCGATATATACCTAAAATTTTCGTTTATGTAGTAGAAGAAACTACATAAATATAAAAATAATTTATTCTGAAGATACATAAACGAGAGAGGTAATTGCTTGTTGCCATGTCGGATGCGCATTTGGAAGCGCCGCCTTCGGTACGCCTCACCAACGATGATTTTCGAAAGCTGCTGGCCACGCCGCGTGCCCCGCCACCAGGATCCTCGAGCAGCGCAGGCAGCGGTTACCTGGCCACCGCCCAGTTTGCCACGCCTTCTGCTGTCGGTGAAAAGAAGAAAAGCCAGAGTAGCAGCGAACGAAATGACCTACGTCGCAAGAAAAAGAACTTCTATGCAGCACTCAAGAAGCAGGAGGATGTCAAGCTGCAGGAACTCTCGGAAAAGTACAGAGATCGTGCCCGCGAACGTCGTGACAATGCCAATCCGGACTATCAGAATGCCAGCACGCCCGGTCATGGCAGCAGCACAAATGCCTATAGGGCCGTGGCACCAGATATGAAATCTGGAGTGGATGCAGCAGAGCGCCGACGTCGTATCATACAGGAGTCAAAATTCTTGGGCGGTGACATGAAGCATACGCATTTGGTGAAGGGTCTTGATTACGCCCTGCTGCAGAAGGTGCGATCCGAGCTGCACAGCAAGGAAGCCGAAGAGGAGGAACTGGCCGCTGCCTTGGCACGAGAAAAGTTGGCCGAAGAAGCAGCCGCCGCGGAGCAATTGGAGGCCGAACGTCGCGAGGCTGAGGACATAAATGCGATCAACGGTCCCATGGCACGCAACATATATAATCTCATACAGGCGCGGCGCTCCAAGGAGGTGCCCCGCAATGAGCTGTTTGCGCCCGGACGCATGGCCTATGTGATCGACATGGAGGATGAGATGGACATGGATATACCGACGACGCTGAAGCGCTCCAAGTATGAGGTGCCCGTGCCGCGAGAGGACATTGCAACACTGACCACGAACGACATTGTCATCAATAAGCTGTCCCAAATTCTGAGCTACCTGCGAGCCGGTGGACGCAACAAGAAGAACAAGAAGCGCGACAAGGATAAGCCCCTGTTCTATGAGAAGGAAGTGGAGAATGTGCGTGGCGGCAACAGCAGCGCCAGTGGCGCAGCTTCCAGTGGCAGCAGCTCAATGCCGAGCAGCAGCAGCGGCAGCAAAACCTCGAAAGCTGTGGGCGACAGCATCTACGATGATGTGGGCGATTATCAGCCCTCAAACTCGCGCAGTGATCGGCATCAGTCGAAGCCAACAACGGGGCAATCCTACTTCGGAGATGCACCCGCCGAGCCGGAGCCGGTAATAACAAGTATACCGCCACCTCCAAAGATATCCAAGGCGATGGCGTCACGTTTTGCCAACGAACCGGAGGGCTATGCTGAATGCTATCCGGGTCTGGAGGAGATGAACGATGCCATTGATGATTCAGATGATGAGGTGGACTATACAAAAATGGACTTGGGTAACAAGAAGGGCCCGATCGGACGCTGGGACTTTGATACGCAGGAAGAGTACTCGGACTACATGAGCACGAAGGAGGCGCTGCCCAAAGCTGCCTTCCAGTACGGAGTTAAGATGCAGGATGGTCGCAAGACGCGCAAAAACAAAACCGAGAAGAACGAAAAAGCCGAGCTCGATCGCGAGTGGCAAAAAATCCAAGTGAGATTTGGCTTAACATAAGCTAGAATCTGCTACTAATTTGCATTCTATTTTTACAGGGTATCATACAGAAGCGCAAGCTGCCCAAGGATGGAGGCGGAGATGAACCAGACTACAAATCGGCTAAATACTAAATTAGTTCAGAACGGAAATTCCTTTCAGGATTTGCATGAAAGCTTAAGAATATTCTAATTGAATATTTATATAATTAGCAGTTTCATAGAATATTATATTATACCTAATTACCTTTATTTTGTTTAAGCCTATTTCAAAATATATCTAAACTTTTCTGATTCAAAATTGTCTTTAAATGATTCAGTTTTGACTGTGTGATCATGCGAAAATGATTCTTTGCAGAATACAAAATAAATAATAATATCAAATACATATACTATAAATATGTAATTAAATTAATATTGATTTCTAAGGAAAACAGTTATTGATTTTTAAACGAATCAAAAGCAATGAAACAAATGTAAAGCTTATTTTACATGAATCTGAAACGGATATATTATAATCTGAAATCATTTAATTATACAAAATATATATTTTAATAATATATATTACACAATTTAGGGAAATCGAGCATGACAAATGAGGAAATAAAACATTTATAAATAAATTTCTCAAATATGAATAACTATCTGAATTTATTTTTAGATGCTTAAAATTCGATTCCGAGATAAAAACACATTTCTTTTAATTTATTTTAAACATTATGAACTATTTATTATAATTGATGTTGTAAAACATTAAATATACGTATTTATGTAGGTGTACAAGTATAATTCTTATTTGCTCATACAAATTTATGTATGCATTTA